CAAGGCAAGGGAGTCTTCAGATTTCTGTTCGGTAGGGTGAACATAAAACATTTCTAACTAAGGTGTCTGGCATGGTTTTAAACTCATAAGCAGCTTTGAACATTCAAAAAAAAAAAAAAAAATAATGACTTAATTTGTACAAGTATTGTTCACTGAGTGCTGCATTCTGAGAAACAAAAAGGCCTCAAAGAGCCAGGTCTGTCCCAAGCCTGCAAAAGCAGCAGAGGCCTTCTCCTGCCTGGGCCACCCTCCAAACTCTCCTGGACCTCATGACCATTTAGGATTTATTGCATGGTGACATGAGAGGCTCAGGCACTGCAGACAACATGGCTAAAACAGCTCTGGGAGGAGAGGCAGGAGCAGGGTGGAAGGAAAGGCAGAAGGAGCAGGGTGGAAGGAAAGGAAGGAGAAGGAGCAGGGTGGAAGGAAAGACAGGAGAAGGAGCAGGGTGGAAGGAAAGGCAGGAGAAGGAGCAGGGTGGAAGGAAAGGCAGGAGAAGGAGCAGGGTGGAAGGAAAGGCAGGAGAAGGAGCAGGGTGAAAGGAAAGGCAGGAGAAGGAGCAGGGTGGAAGGAAAGGCAGGAGAAGGAGCAGGGTGGAAGGAAAGGAAGGAACAAGGTGGAAGGAAAGGCAGGAACAGGGTGGAAGGAAACTGCAGAGGTCTTATGCACAAATTTCAGCTAATTACTTGAGGCAGCTCAGGGAGCTCCACTCCTGATGGTGGAAGGAAAACTGTGCCTTGAAAACAAATGGTATGGATCACGACAACAAAACAAACGTGTGTTTGAGACTCCTTCAAACTTCCCCCAGCCACCTCCAGCACAAAACACAGATAAGGGGAGCCTCCAAGGTGGAGCTGCACCCAGGCCTGGGCTGGGACTGGTTTCACCCAGTCCCAGAGCAGAGGCAGCTGCACTCCCACTGCCAGTGGGGACCTGTCCGAGCCTGAGCTCCTGCTACCCCACCTGCACAGAGCTGGATTTGGCAAGCCAAGGCACAGGAGGCGTGAACAGCCCAGGCCTGACCTTGAACACAAGCTCGAGGCACCAGTTAGAGGCATTTATGTTAACAGCCCTGGGTGACAGGAAACAGAGAGACACACTATTAACAATTAATGTAACACAGGGTATTGGCTCTGAGATCAATTCAAGTTCAGTTTTTGTAACAATACCAGAAAAATGAGCTGAAAATTATCTATACAGAAGAAAAGCATCTCGCTAGCATGACTCAAAGTTATATTTCCATATAGAAAGGCACAATAGTGAATTACAAACTGAATTCTGCAGACATCTCCAGTGCCAGTGCAACCAACAAACACAAAGTACTCCTATACTGATTTTCTAATTAGTATGATCATTCATACAAACTCAACTAATAGATATTTACATTGAACTCAATCTTGGTAACTTAGGCTACTCTCCTTAAACTCTGCCTACAACCACTGGTAACCTACAGAAGACACCACAGAACCTTCTGACCCAACTACTTTGCCTTTATCAATGGTCTGGAGCAGCACCATAAAATCAAGCAAACCCCAAATCTGGAAACCAGAGACAAACCTGTTATTTGTAAAATGATAAATAAAGAATACCAGTTTTCCTGTAACTTTCTACCTGCTGCACCACTCACCGAGAGGCTCAGCCCAACAGCCACTGAGCTCTAGATCCATCCTGAAGCCCACAGTCTCTGAATTCACTCACATTCTGAATTCTTTCTCCAAGCAGAACAGGAAAGCAGTCCTGTAACAACCAGCTAAACTGATTAACTCAGGCTTTTTAGGGTCTGTTATTCAGCACAGCCCAGTCTGTACCAAACCTGGAGCACACCAACGCTAGCAGACCTACAATCAGCCACGGCAGGTTTTATTCCAGAGGACAGCAATCCATGTTGTTCTCCTCCATGGAGTCTCCTGCCTTCTTAATGAGCAGCCAGCCTACTGAAACACACAAAAACCTGCTGTTCTTTGAAGCACTTAAGCCAGCAGGATGCTGGTACGTTTCGATATTTTCCCTGCACAGATCAGAGCGAGGCGAAGTGGGAAAAGAACATTACAGGCGTTCCTACAAAGCAGGCACATTTCATTTTCTATTAGCAACATCCCAAGGGACACTTTAGCACTCTGCAAATATGGCCCTGCAAGACTGGGAAGTTGCTTCCTGAGTACCAGTCATTAAAGAAAGGTATTAGAGTAACTTATATTCTTCTACACCAAGCAAAAGCCAGAGTCATTTCCCCATCCCACGTATGAGACCTAAGAAAAGCAAGATCAGGAACATCATAACTACTCTTTAATGTATTTCCCCTAAACTGATTATCATTTAATGATTGCTCTCTCTCTCTCTCTCTCTAAAGGAAAAAAAAAACCAACCACAGAAACAAAACCCTGTTTTCTGTATCAAGAGAGACTATCAGCATTTTTATGAAGTAACAAATTAGGCCTTTGGCATTTCCCAGCAGTGATCCAAGATTTGAGACTTCTAAAAAGCTCCAAGTTTTAAAGCAATCAAATGGCTGACAGCTGGAACAAAACTAGCATGATTAACCAGTTATGTAAATAATGATGTGGTCAGTGCAAGCTGAATTCATTTCTGCTGCCTGCATTATACTGGACATCAGATGTTTGTGAGCTCTTCATGAAATGTGGCTGTAGGAATAATGGAAGTGAAAACCAACATGAACATCACCAGCCAAGCTACCTGACAGTCAGGGGTGTCTCCTCTGGTCCTTCCACACCCATCAGGTAACTCATAAACAACACTATTTTAGCCCAAATATTACCCACCACTGCTTAGCTTCTACCTAGGGAACAAGTCTACTTCTTCTCAGCAGACAAGGCCATGGAGAGGTGGAGAAAGATGGTCAGAGTATATTTATGTACAAGGGCTTTAGCCCAAATATTACCCACCACTGCTTAGCTTCTACCTAGGGAACAAGTCTGCTTTTTCTCAGGAGACAAGCCCATGGAGAGAGGATACTTATGTACAAGGGCTTGGAGTGACAGCCAAGGGGGAACAGCTTCCCGCTGCCAGAGAGCAGCATTGAATGGGATATTGGGAAGGAATTCCTGCCTGGGAGGGTGGGCAGGCCCTGGCACAGGTTCCCAGAGAAGCTGTGGCTGCCCCTGGATCCCTGGAGGTGTCCAAGGCCAGACTGGACCTTTTTTGGAAAAACCTGGGATAGTGGAAGGTGTCCCTGCCATAGCAGGGGTGGGACTGGATGAGCTTTGAGGTCCCTTCCAACCCAACCCAACCCATTCTGGGATTCAAAGATCCTGTGAGTGCTACCTTGCATTTCTTAAAGGCTGATAACAATTTCCATTCCTCAGCAGATGTAAAAGTCAAGCTGCTGTGTCAGAGAGCTGTTGTGACACAGGTGTAATGTTGCAGAGTAACTTCATGGCATAGAGGAAGTTACAATCAGCACCCCCAAGTCAAACTTCCTCAAATGGAACCCACAGTCAATTTGGGCTTATCGGAATCCGCCTTCAGGAATGCACACTCATGGGTCATTTGTGCTTGATAATTCTTGATAACATAGTTAAATATTTAATAAGGGTAAGATTATCTCTGAAATTCTGTCGAGCTAGTTTACCATTACTTTGAGCTCATAAAGGAAAATTTATCAAAAGTTTTGATTCTTCCCAATAAAAGTCTACACTTGAGTTTGTTCAAAAATAACACATCTGAGAATCAGCCAAGACAAACATATTTAGAAGTAACTCCTAAACAGGCTACATTTTGCTAAAGATACCATTACAATATATTTCTGATTTAAAAAAAAATCATTCATCCCACATTTCACACCCCAAAAATACAATTTCCTATGACCTTGTGTCTCACGAAACACAGCAACACACCGGAATTATGCAAGAGTTCTGTATTACCATAAAACACGTATTTCAGTGGAGAGAATAATAAAACTTAATCTCGCGGCCTGATTTGCATTTTGAACTCCTCAAGTCAGACTCTACAGCCCGTAACATCTGCAACAGCTTCACAATCCTAACAAGTCTTTTAGGCCTCCTGTTGAAAATGGATGAGCATGTAGATAATTCAGGTTGTTTTCTTAATAGATGAGAAGAAGAAATACGTCCAAGTGCTGTAAATTTAAAATCTCATTTGGCTTTTCAGATCAGTGTCGACAGCATACTTGAGAAGGGGGAGGGGGAAGCATTACACACCCATAAAACTGAGACCAAACGCTACCAGTTTTAAAGCCTTAGAGCTTTAAACCTTAACATGAATATTTTAACATTTACATTAAAGCCTTACGGCTTTAAAATAGGGGACTTCCATTGCGGGCAGCCTGTGATAATTACTGTTTCAATATATTTCACAGCAATAATGTAATACAGCTCGCTGACTACCCAACCCTAATCTCTAGCATCACAGGTACTGCAGGTAATTTTTTTTTTTAAATATATGTAAGTATGTATCGGTGTAAATATATATATAGAGAATATCACAGAACCACAGAAAATCACAGAATTATTAGGGTTGAAAGGGACCTCTGGAGATCATCTAGTCCAATCCCCCTATACAAAACAGACCCTTAAAAATCATTAAAAGCATTAACACACATCTCCCAAACAACGATATTACTGAAAATACAACAAAATATCCCCCGCCCCGCCACGATGGAGGTGAACAACGCCGGGGCGGGGGTCGGACCGGGCGGACCGGAGCCCCCCGCCCCAGCGCCGCCGCCGGGAGCCCCCCGAGCCCGCAGGCCCCGCCATCCCCCGCAGCCCCGGGAGGCCCATCGGGAGCCAGGCCCAAACTTGGAGCCGCGGAGACCCAGCCCGTCCCCGCCGCCGCCCGCCCAGCCACCCACCGGCGACAACAAAGGCCACCGCGGCCCCGCGCCCTCCCCGCGGGGACCCCCGGGGGCCCTTCCCGCGCCCACCCCGCGCCCCGCCGAGGGGAACGCCGGCGCTGCGGGGGCTGCCCGCCCGTTCCCCCCGCCCTCACCCCGTCCCGCAGCCCGCGGGAGCCGCGCTGACCTGCGGGCGCGGGGCGGGCGCGGTGTCCCGGTATCCCGGTGCCCGGCGGCCGCGGGCTGCGCTTGACACCCACACGCACCATCCAACATGGCGGCGGCGGCCGCGGGGAGGCGGCGGAGGAGGCGGAACCGGCGGCCGCGCGCGGCCCCGAGGCGCGGCCGCGCTGAGGGCGGGGGGGACGCGGCGCTGCCCGTCCCCTCCTTCCCTCCCTCTTCCCTTCCTTCCCTCCCTCTTCCCTTCCTTCCCTCCCTTTTCCCCTCCTTCCCTCCCTCTTCTCCTCCTTCCCTCCCTCCTGGCGCGGCTCCTCGCAGCCGGACCCGGCGCCAGTAAGGAGCGAGGCAGGATCGGCCCCAGGGCACGGGCGAATTTGGACGGGAGAGCGCCTGGGGAGGCCCCTCAGTGCTCAAAGAGCTCAGGGGTCCCCCAGAAACCTGGGTGAAATAATGCAAAACAAGTTTATCGTTACGAAATAGCCAGATTTATGGGTCAGGGAACGCTTTAGAGAGGGTCTGGGGCTGGGTTTGATGGAAGGAGAGCGCTTGGGGATCCCCCTCAGTGCTCACAGAGCCCAGGAGGAACTGGGCTCAGGGCTAGAGGTCCCCCAAAATCCAGGGACCAAAAATACAAAATAATGACTGTCAGTACAAAATATCCGCTTTTATGGATCAGGGTACACTTTAAAGCAAGTCTGGGGCTGCCTTTGATGGAAGGAGAAGGCTTGGGGAACACACTCCCCCTCCACACTGACAGCACCTGGGAGAAACACATTTCAGGGCAGGGTAGCCCCCCAAAAATCGAGGTCCAGTGTAAGCAGGCAGCCCCCAAAGCAGAATTATAGAATGAATTCATTTGGAAAAGACCTGAAATGATCAAGTCCCAAATGGTGGCCAAACATCCCTTTGTCAACTAGACTACGGCACTGAGTGCCACATCCAGCCTTTCCTTAAACACCTCCAGGACCAGTGACCCCACCACATCCTTGGGCAGCCCATTCCAATATTTATTCATTCTTTCGATGAGAAAATCCCTCCAATGTCCAACCTGAACCTCCCTGGCACAGCTCCCGTTGCCTCACACAGCACAGATGCTCCCACTGCAGAGGCCAATGTAAAATAACCACTTTTATGGCTAAGGGGACACTTTATGGACACACTTGTGGATCAGGGTCGCCACACTGGGTGACGAAGGGACACAGAGGCCAGGAGGAGCCGGAGCTGGGTGGGTCGGAGCACACGTCCTTCCCCTCGTGATAATGACTAAACCTGTGTCCGGCACCGCGGGCTGGAGGAGGGTTCTGCTCCCATTGTAGTCCTCCCTGAATATATTTGTTCCCATCTTAAAACCGGGAGACAATTCAAGGAAACGGGACATGGCTGCTCGGGAGACAGTCAGGGTTGGTGTAGGTCAGGGGAGAGGCTGGATAGCAGAGCTCTGCTCGGATTGCTGCTGGTTATTTAAAACCCCAATTCCTCAGGAATCGTGCCTTACAAAAGCATAGGAAAACAGAAATGTGGAGCAAAATCCAGTTTATGAGTCACTGCTTTTAAGTGAAAGGAAGGTCAGGCTGAGTGCTGCAAACTTCATCAAATTCCACAATGGTTTGGGAAGGGACCTTAAAAATCATCTTGTTCCAAACCCTGCCAGGGGCAGGGACACCTCCCACTGTCCCAAGATGCTCCAAGCCTGTCCAACCTGGCCTTGAAAACTTCCATGGATGGAGCATCCACCACTTAAAGCCCAGTCCTGCCATGGACCCACTATCAAATCTGCCACAGATTTGAGGTTTAAATACAGAAGAACGGGGACTGCAGTGAAACACCGGGTGAGCTGCATTAAAAGCAACTTGTTTAGAAATGCTGCACATTCCAATGCCTTGAACACCATCTGGGAGCTGGGAAGCTCCGAATCTTCTGCAGCAAGCTGTGATTCTGGCTTAGCTGTTAACCTTGAGCTAGGCAGGATTAAATTCTGGGTGAAAAAAAATAAGGGATCAGCACACATCTGATGGTATCAGCAGGAGCTGAAAGAATACTTCCCCCTTTTCTTCTTTGCAAGAAAACAGCAATGATGGAAACCCAATGTTTCTGTGCACGTTCATTAATCCTAATGATCAGGTGCTGACAGCTCCAAAGGAAGAGAAGAAAGCTCTTGGTTAAAATAGAATGGGAAGAACAGGATTTTTCCTGCTGCCTTCTCTCCTGCCTGTGTTCCTTCCAGGTCTGGGCAGACTGCTCTCCAGAGCAGGAGGCAGCTTCCTCTCCATTCCCAGCTCCATCCCAGGTGTCTGTCTACATCATTAAGTGTGCAAATCAGCAAACCCAGCAAAAACCTCCTGCAGCTGGCATGCTTCCACCAAAAAAACACTTCTCTATCAAACAGATCAAGCCCCTTAGTGCGAGTAAAACAAACCAGCCAAGTAAAATCACTTATTTTTTTATTATTATATACGTGTTAATGCCTTAAAGTGCAGTGTTCCTGCTGCCCTGGGCAGGTACATGAGTGGTAGAGCTGCACCAGCAGAGCTCTGCCCAAGCTGCACAGGGATGTTCTTCCTGGTGGCCTCTGAGCAGACTCGTGGCAGTGGATTTATGTCTTTTGTTTCCTATTAGCAACAGGAGGTCACTGCATTTGTCCTGTGATTTTAAAGCCAGGAGCTGGTGCAGAACACTTCCCACTGCAGCCCTGCCCCATCCTTCTGGAGCAGGCTGTACCTGGATCTTGACCCGAGCCGTCTCTGATCCTTCCCAGCCCACAACATTTCAGCTGCGTTGGCAGAACCAGAGTCCAAGGCCACAATCTGCAGTCTGAGTTGGTCACCAGGAGCTGGGGCACCACCCTGATAACCAACAGAGCAATCCACAAGGAGAAGGCAGCTCACAGACTCCCAGGATATCCTCGGGATATGGAAGGGACTCACAAGGAGCATCAAATCCAACTCATGCTCCTGCACAGGACAAGGATCAGGGGCACCTTTCACTAGACCAGGGTGCCCAGAGAAGCTGTGGCTGCCACATCCCTGAAAGGATCCAAGGCCAGGTTGGACAGGGCTTGGAGCAACCTGGGATAGTGGAAGGTGTCTCTGCCCATGGCAGGGATGGAACTGGAGGGGTTTTGAGATCCCTTCCAACCCAAACTATTCTGTGAGTCTATGAATCCCACCCTGTGCCTGAGAACGTTGTCCAAACACTCCTGGAGCTCTGGCAGCCTTGATGCCATGACCATTCCCTGGGGAACCTGTCCAGTGCCCCAGCACCTCTGGGTGAAATCCCTTTTCCTGATAACCTAAACTTTCCTGGCGCAGCTTCACGCCATGCCCTCAGCTCCTGTCACTGGTCACCAGAGACGAGCTGGTGGCAGTGGACCCAGTGAGTGGAGTGGGAGTAGGCGCAGGATAAGGAGCAGGAGGATAAGGAATGGGATGTCTGGAATGCAGGAGGCTCTCCCAGAGAAGATGAGGAAGTCACATCCTCCCCCAGCTGCCCTCCCAACTAACCTAGGGAAGAGCAGCTGCCAGGGAGCCTCAGGAGGGCCTGTTCCACAGCCATAATGGGAATATCGCCCACGTGGGGCTGAGCACACCACTAATTAGCTAATGAGTTTGTTCCAAATGTCTGGCCACCGTGTGAGGGACAACAGGAGCAGCACTTGAAAAGCCCCAAACAGTGACAAGTGCATTTGTCTCTTGTCGCTGACCCCAGCCCCGCATTAACAAATAGGTCACAACCAACGGTGCTTTGCAGTGATCTAATCCTCCTGCCATATGTCGGCTGCCCGAAAAAACACTGCACAGAGAACGCCCCAAAGCTCTGCAGAAATCCCAAGGAAAACTCGATAAATATATCCCTGCCGTTTGAAATTTGATTTCCTCACTCTATTGTTCCTCATTTCCTGAGAGCTGGCTTGGTGGATCACATTTTCTGCTTCTGTCTCCAGTGCTTGTAAGCAAACAAGACTGAATCTCATTATCCTGATGCATGGCCCTGGCTGCGTGCAATCCGAGCTCTAAATCACAGTCATTTTGCTCCATTACTGATTTTCCTTCCCACTCCTAACCTGCAGGTCTTCAGAGGAATCAATGCAGAAATAGAGACGAGCATCACCTAATGAAGGTGTGTTTAATGTTCAACTCCTCAGCCTGGATTAAACAGCCAAGGGAGGAACTGCCTCGTGTCTCAGGAGCTTGAGCACCCTCCACTCCAGTGGCAGCTGGAGCTTCCCAGCCTTCCCGGGAAGCCACATGCTTCCACATGGGGTAAATGGGGACTTCTGTCCCTAAGAGCCCAATTTGGGAAATCTGCTAATTAAATAGTCTGGGCAAACACAATCATCATTGTCCTTAGAGCCAAAGCAGAGAGATGTTTCTCAACAAGCACAGACCCTCCCTGGAATTTTCTGAGCTGTCTGCATGTTGCTGACAGTTATAGAGAATATATTCAGATTATACAACTTGATGTTCACCCCGGGTTATTCTCTCCTGGATTCATGAATATTTCATTGAAATATGCAAAGTCTGAGTTACAGTCTTGTCTGCTTCAATTAGACACACAGATCCACGGGGTCTGCAGCCCTTCCACACTTCCAGGGTTTGTCTGCAAAGCGAGGAGAACCAAAATAAGAGTTTAGCTCCCATCATATTTAGCCTGGCTTCTTCAAAATTCTTTAAATTAGAGAGAAAAGCAGAAGGATGGGAGAGTAGAGCCCAGTGAGCCTGTGCCCGAGTTCAGCTGGAAGCAACCCAAGCTAATCAGAACAGAGCCAGCAGGAGGGGGTTCGTTCCCTTCGTGATGCAGACAAACTTGTAGAACTGTTTCCAATGCAAATATTCCTTTTGACAAGTTCAAAATTAATACACCTCTAATATGGGTATTCAAACCAGACCTCTTCTGAACACGTTGGCAGATTCATGAAAAGAGAAGAGAATGCAAGCCCAGCACATTCTGATTTTCTCAAAATGAATGTGCTCTGACAGTGCAGGAGGCAGTGACGTTTGAATGTGCCTAGTTCTAGTAATTACCAAGTGTTGTGTTTCTTTAGAACTTGGAGCTGTTTTCATCTGTGGGCACCTTCCCTCATTCCTTTCTCCTTACTGCTCCGGAGGTGCAGTTTCTCCCATGCCTCAGCAAGAAGCCAAGGCTACTGTGCT